ACTGAGCACATATACATGTACTGCCCGTTTCCAGTCATGTGATTTATGTGTGTTCCAGTCATTCGAGCCTCTTCTCTGCCCTCTAGGAGCGTCCCTCACAAGGTTTCTTGGCACATAGTAAGTGCACACCAAGTGCCATTAAAAAGAATTAATGTGTGAACTCTGGATTTTAGACCAAAAGAAACCATATATTACTTTGCGAGGTTTTTTACAAGTGCTTTTCATTGACCTCTGCAGTTTCTAAATACCTTTACCAGTTGTTTGCCCTGCACATATGATGAGCTACATTTTCATGGCACGTTTATTCAATAAGTGGAATTTTTTTTAAGTCTCCAGATTTTTTTTCTTTTTTTTTTTAATGTGAAGCTTGAAAGGCAACTTGTGGCTTTGAATAAGAATAGCCCTGTTTAGCAGCCGAAACAGATGTGCCCGCAGCGCCTGGAAATCTTGTGTTTACAAAGTCGCTGGCTGAAAACCTTGCCAGGCCAGAGAGCATTCTAACTTTCTTTCATAGGACAGTAACTTTTGGCCTTTATGAGCAGGGTCTCATCTGTCTGTCTGGGTTCTACTCTCCTGTACAAAAGACCGTCTGTCGTGTAGTTGGCTGGGCAGGCGTCGGTGCCTGCTGCCTGCCCAGGCCCTACGGCAGGTGCTGGAGATGGACTCACATTCCGGGGGCCGGGGGGTGGGCGGGAAGGGACCAGGCAGGGAGGTGAGAAGGGCACGGGGAAGATGTGGTGACAGTGCTGGCCTTGTATTAGATCAGAGGTCAAACGGGAGGCTGTGAAACCAGGAGAGGGAGACCATACTGAAGGGTGGAGCTTGTCCCAGGCGTCTGTTACACGTCGTCATCTATGCCAGACCCAGGGGATGAACACATCCACCATCGTACCTACCACATGATTCTCTTAGGCGAAGCACACTGACTGAAACCACACACCCTGGCCAGGCACCATAGTAACCATTTGCGTGAGTTGTTTTATGACAAGAGGTCCTGGTAAGGAACACAGAACTAATAAGCTACCGCCAACCAGAAGAATTCGGGAAAGGTCAAAAAGAGACATCATGTGTCCGACCGCCTCCCAGAATCCTCGCTAGCATCCGTCTTGGCTAAAGCAATGCATGCACCACCAGGAAGGACTCTGAGCCAGAATGAACGGTCAGAGACAACTGGGAAACTACTCCCATCACCATAAAACCCGAGACTGCAAGCCATGTGGCAGAGCAGTTCTCCTGTTCTGGAGAGGGAAGCTTCCCTTGCCCTGCGGTTCTCCTCCTGGGTGCCCCTTCCCCGTAAAAATTTCTTACTTTGTCAGCATATGTGTCTCCTCGGACAATTCATTTCCGAGTGTTAGACAAGAGTCCACTCCCGGACCCTGGAAGGGGTCCCCCTTCCTGCAACATTTCTGTGAACCAGGCATCTGGGCAGTGCTCAACCAGGCAATTCTTCTGTCCCGTGTGGGATCAACCTAGGTCACCTGGTGTAGTCAGCTGATGGATGGGCTGGTCTGGTCTGGAAGGTCTTGGCAGCTTCAGTCACACGTGTGGTAACCTAGCAGGTGGTTGAAAGGCTGGCCTCAGCTGGGACTGCTGACTGGAGCCACCTCCTTGGCATGGGGGTGGGGGGGGGGCGGTCCCAGCTTCCTTACAAGGCAGCTCTGAGCTCCCAAGAGACAGAAGTTCTAAGGCTTTTATAAGACTTGGCTTTGCAAGTCTCACCATGTCACTTCCTTCCCATCCTTTTGGCAAATAAGCCATTAAGGCCAGCCCAGGTGTGGGGAGATGGAGTTAGACTCATGCTCCCTGGGAGAAGTAATGGGAACTTGTGGCTGTTTTTAATTGACCATATTGTGTACCTTGATAGGAGAGTCATTGAGAGACGTAAGGCGGGAGGTTGGATGATGGGTAGATGACATCATCAACTGTACTTTTAGATTTGGAGGTAGATGATGTGTGCTCAAGGTTGGAATTGGGGTGGTGCAGGTGGAGTCCTGTTTCAAAGTTCTTAGCTGTGAGGAGAAGATTGGAAAGGAGAGGAGGTGTTGAGTGAGGCTCAGTGTTGGAGAGGCTTGCTTATTTTTACTTGGCTGGTTTGCTCTGAAGATGGGTGAGGTCATCAAAGACCCATTCTTTTCCAAATCACACTGGCCTCTTAACTGATAACACGCCTTTGAAAGTCTCTCTTCTCCTATCTTTGGCGATACAACTTTCTCCTGGTCCTGGTTCTTTGGCCTGTGACTAAGAAGGGTTTACTAATTTATTTGAAGATATAAAAGGTATTTCTTGCAGTATGTGTGCATCTCTGCTCCGCCGATTGAAATTAAAATGTCTCTGTATATGTTAAGTTGACATTCCTGGTTTTTGTGTTTTCATCTCTATATTAAATATGGCTTTGGGGCTGCAAGTAGAAGAAACCAATCTGAGTTAGCTAAAACCAGAAAGGATTTCATGAACAGGGGTCAGAGTACATCTGGGCCAAGAGACGCCCTGAAGGATCCTCTTTGCATCTCTTTTCATTGCTGTCCCTGTTCATCTGCTTTGCTCCTCACTTCTCTGCTGCTTCATCACAGAACAGACTCTGACATCCCCACAGCTCCCATGCCTGCAGCCTGAAGCTCTGGCCATCCACACAGACTGGTGGGTTGTCTCTGGGTCCCAGGTGTGTATTTTCTGAGATGAGACTGTCATTGGCCAATTTGGACCAAATGTCTGCCACCAGTCACTCAGTGGGGAGGGTGCTGGCCTGGCCATTTCATTCCAATGTAGCGCTGGGCTTACCTTAGGGTGTTCAGGGCTGGACTCACTAGAAGGGATGTCATGAACAGATCTCTTAAAAAGCATCTGCCACATTCTTTGACTAGTGTCATTGACTAGCAGTGTATAGTTGAGAGAAAGGTGCAGCGGAGAGCTGGGCAAATGTGAGGGGCACAGGACACCTTGCCAGATCTTGTACCAATAGTTCTAGGCCACAGTGATGAAAATGTCCCTTTAAATGGTTTAGGCCCTGCCTTTAATTCACATATGTTTCTCTTAATACAGGGCGCTCATCCTGGTGTAAGTGATGTGCAGATATATTAAGACACAGTTGATTTATAATGGTTGTTTAATCAGGGGTATGTTCTTTAGAGTGGTGATCACAGGTACATTTAAGAAAATCATGTCCATTATTCTGATCTTAGCTCCAAAAAAGGAGAGGAGTAAGACTTGAAACAAATGATTTCTGTACTCTGGAGACATTTTCTGTAGCTGACGTACCTTTATGATGGAGATGGAAACAGATTAGAAACACAGCAGGAATAACTTCTGGCAATTTAAATCCATTATCATGCTGCAGCTACAGAATAGTAAAACACCACCACAAGCCCTTGTTCCGACTTGTGCTGTTCCCCTTGGGCTTGTGTCCCCTTTGCCAAACTGCCCGCCCTGCTCTCTGGGTGAGATGGGCCAGTGGCAACGCAGGACTTCCAGGAGAGGGTGGAGCCGCCACCCAAGTTGCCCCTGACTTTGGTGCTTGGAGGGAGCCTCAGAGTTGTCATGTTTATCCACACAAATTTGAAACAATTCCTCTTTTGGTTCTCTTCAAAAGAACTTCTGCCAAGAGGGAGCCGGAGAATAAACATGGCATGAGACAGAAGTCAGAATGTACAGGGACCTGTTATCTAGATTAGAAAATACAGGTGAAAATGGAAACACTCTTGCAAGCCTGCATTCTTTTTAAACAGTGGTATTGGCTTTAAGGCAGGGGTCCCCAACCCCCCCCAAGAAAAAACCAAGGGACTGCACAGCAGGAGGTGAGCAGGCGAAGCTTCATATGTGTTTACAGCTGCTCCCCATTGCTCACATTACAGCCTGAGCTCCACCTCCTGTCAGATTTGAGATGGCATTAGATTCTTCCTTGGTGGCTCAGACGGTAAAGCGTCTGCCTACAATGTGGGAGACCCAGGTTCAATCCCTGCGTCGGGAAGATCTCGTGGAGAAGGAAATGGCAACCCACTCCAGTATTCTTGCCTGGAAAATCCCATGGATGGAGGAACCTGGTAGGTTACAGTCCATGGGGTCCTGAAGAGTTGGACACAACTGAGCAACTTCACTTTCTTTCTTATATTCTCTTAAGAGAGTGAACCCTACTCTGAGCTGCTCATGCCAGGGATCTAGGTGGTATGCTCCTTATGACAATCATCCCCAAACCATCCCCCCAACCTACCCCCGTGTCTGTGGAGAAATTGTTTTCTACAAAATCTATCCCTGGTGCCAAAAAGGTTGGGACCACTGGCTTAAGGTATTAATTTAGGGAAATCTGCTTAAGGACAAGTAATATTTCCCAGGTGACTTTTTAAGATATTTGATAGTTTGTGGACTAAAACTCCTCTTTTATACGTTTGGGCTTTTTAATGGGCAACCTTATAGAGGCATACTTTGTTTAATTTTTGAAGGCTAGCTTTCACTAACCTGACAGTATAGGGTTCAAATAGCAATTGGAATGGAGGTAGAGAATTCAGAACTTTTAAGAATGCAAGGAACTAAATTTGATCTTCTTACAAATAAAGATCCTACAGACATTAAGATGATTTGAGAGTGAGAGATGAGGTTTAATTAGTATGCTCTTTTCTAACCAATTCATTTAAAAATATTTCTCAAGTGTTTCTCCAGGGTCCATTAGGATGACGTTTGCTGAATTGAGCCGGTGCTAATACAGCCTCTGCAGAATTCTCATTTGCTTAGTTATACTTGGTCTCTTCTGAAAAGATTTGAAGAGTCTGACTTTATAGAATAAGGAACCTATAATTACTTTGTATATCACTCTTAAATTAAGTTTCTGGAAGTGATTTGAATTTCATTACAGCCGAAGTCTCTAAGTCTGTTTTGTATCCCTTTTGTGGGGTGGTTACTGGACAAGTCTTTATGAGGATTCCTGTCTTTTCCCTTAATTCCATCGGACTTTTATTCTGAATGCCTTTAAAAATCTAGAAATAAATGAACTCTTTCATCTCTGTTTATAGGTACAATGGTGCTTTACCTAATGGAGACAGAGGCCGGAGGAAAAGCAGATTTGCTCTCTACAAGCGGCCAAAGGCTAACGGAGTCAAACCCAGCACAGTCCATGTGATATCCACTCCACAGGCGTCCAAGGTAGGGGACTCCTTGGAATGGGGAGGGCCAACAGTGCATCATGGGTGTCCTTGTCAGATGCTCTTTCCTTTCAGCCTCATGTCTCTGTGGGACAGTGTCCCAGCCATTTGAGCTGGATAATCTTGGTTGTGAAAGGCTGTTGTGTACATAGCCCATTGTGTGTTTCACAGCATCCCTGACCTCTACCCACTAGAGGCCAATAGCACATCGACCCCCATGCCCCCAGCCACTTTGGGACAACCAAGACTGTCTCCCAAACTTGCCACGTGTCCTCTGGGGGCCAGGAGGGTGGGCACACCCTCCCCTCTGTCCCCTACCCCCGCCCCATAATGAACCACCGCTTTAGGATGTAGTGCTGTCAGCGTAGATCAATTGAGGATAGTTGTGGTTGAGAGAGAAACGATGTTCTCTTTCCTGAAGAGTGTTCTGTATTAAATTTGGTATAAACCTCATTAAGATTTGCTGTTTTCCTCTGTTACTTGAGTAGTGGGTATTTTCACACAATTTGCATGTACATGGAATTGAATTTGTGTATTATTAGAAAGATTGGAAGTAAACAGAGCTAAGTGCAATAAGAAGTCTATGATGCATACTTCTTGTAACTGTGAAGTATATAAAATATTCATTTTTTATTAATATTTCGCTTGTTTTCTGACCCGTAAGTGTAGAGGAAACCTGAATTTCCATTCTGGTTTATATAGTCTACCTATTAGATTTTATGACAGTTTTTCTTTTAATTAAACATGTTACTTAATGTGTATAGTTTGCTTTTAACAAAATAATTATATCTACATGAAGTTATTTCATATGGGGCACTGGCTGTATATATTTATCATAATGGGTTTGAACCATCTGGAATAAATAAGAGACTTTCTTTCAATTTCTTTCTTTTTTTTTTTTTATTTTGCTGAAAACCAGCAGTTCAAAGAGAAATGAACAGCTTCATGGAAGCATCTGTGGTGTTTATACTCAGAAACAGGTCACCTCTGTTAACTTTTTTATTTAAAAATTCTTGTTGTTTCTGAAGCAGTACTGTGGAAGAAGTTTGCAAGATTGTGCCAATTAAGAATCTCTTGTATTAGGGAGGGAATGGTTAGATCGTAATATATCAAATACCAAGGAAACAGGAAAGAATAATACATAGTGGCCATATTTTTGGCTAAATAAAGGGAAGTAAGGTGCAAGTTTTAGGGAGGGGCGGACACTCACTAGGGTAAACAGAGGAAATCAGCCTTACTGATTCTGAGAAAAGGAGGAAGTGAAATGGCAACAGAATCTTGGAAGGTCAAAGAATTATGAGAAATATTTTATAGTCCAAAAATATTTGGAGGGGAAGAATACCAAGACAAATGTTTTTAAGCCTGTGATGAGTGCCAAAAATACTCTGTTATTATAGATATGGTCTTTATAATTTTGTCTATGTGTCGATATTTATTTTTTCTTCTTTTGGTTCTGTACCTTTTTATGTCTCCTTTTTTTGATCTTAGATTTTATATTGATACGATGGCTTCAGATATTTAAAAAGATTATAGAAATCTGGTTACTTAGGCGTCATGTTACGGTAGGATATGAAATATACCTTCCAATAGCTACTCTTAGAATATCATGGGTCTTCCTTACTCATTACCCACCTCCATCTGCTCCAGTTTTAGCTTTTTCTATTTTACCTTTGTATGTAGATTTTATCTGATGATATTTAGACTATAAGCTTTTGGAAATTGTCTAAATCTGTTTAAACGTATCATTGAGAGTACTGATAGTAGGAGAAGTTATGTTTTGGTGTTACAACCTGGAAAAAAATGCATTCTCAGGGCCTCAGTTTCTCATTTATAAAGTGAGTTCATGATGGTCAAGAACCATGTGGATTCAGGGAAGGTACTTTGGTTACAAGCAACAGAAATGATTCTGGCTATATCACACCAAAAAAAAGCAAATGTGGAGACATTATTAAAGGTTAGGCTACAGATAGCTCTCTGAATTGGGGGAAATTTTGAGTAACCACGTTTTGTGAGAGAAGTGAACCAGAGTGTCCAAAGGAGTTAACATAGATATTCTTCCCAGGGTGTTATAAAGTGGCTCCACTTTTTTAATTTTCAGGAAAGAGAATCCAGTAGGTGTGCACAGGGTCAGTCAAGGATGACCAGGGGAGATGAGTGGACCCGACATATTTATCGTGAACTGATCACCTGCCATACTGCCTTTCCCTTATTCATCTTGGGACCTGTATGTCCAGGGCCTCATGCATAGTACTTCATCCTACCTGAACTGGTACCTTAGCCACAAATCCCTCTGTTTTTCTGTTCCCTTTAGAACTCCCACCCCGAGTCAGCATTGCCCGGCTGCTCTGTTGGCCCTAGACAAAGTCTCTTATGTGTTAAACCTTTTCCTCAAATGCTGCTCCTCTTCCTTACCTTAACTGAGTCCTGGTTTTTCCCCAGAGTGCTCTTTTTCCATCTCTTTTAGTTCATGACACTAGAAATGATTTCTTTTTGTTCCCATTTCAGTCTCTTCTTTCGTAACCCTACATTTTTCATCTAAGTTCCCTCTTCCCCTCCTCCTTTGGACCTCACTGACCTATATATAGCCTACTCTTCCGCATGTTTCCATGACCCAGGCCCAAGCTCAGTCTCCCTGACTCTCCAGGCCCCATTCAGCCATACAGGAGCATCCATGGTGTAACCTTTTTTTTTTAAAAAAAAACACATCCATGGTATAAATGGAAAAACTGTAACTTTTCAGTTTCAGAGACTGTCACTTCTGTTCTGCTTTCCCTACTAATATGATGGACTTGACGGCCCGCCGTCATTTAACCTCTACTGTTAGCATAACCTTGAGTTCATTCTACTTGTGTATGCATATACTTGGCTTATCTGATTTCATCAGGGCTTACAGTCCTTTAGCCTGTCCTTACTTGCCATGATTGTTAGTGTGTTTCTAGTCTTCCTTCCCACTCACCCTGTTTCCCGTCAGAAGGCCTGGGTATGTGGTGGTCTTGGTAAAAGCTGTTTGACCTGAACCAACACGTGCTTTGCTGTGAAATTTCTGATGCTGCATTGTTGGTAACGAAGGGGTCATCTTTGAGTGGAATTGTACAAGTGAGGTCTGTTAGGATGGGGGTGGCTACTGTTGTTAGAACGTGAGGGCTTGGACTCTGACCATGTTGTTTCTTCCCTCTGCCACCATCATTCCTTCTGCTGAACAGTCTGGGGAGAGGCCAGGGAGATCCCTTTGCTGATGGTGGTGGCAGCTGGAAAATGGGCCCTCTTAGTCCTCTGTGCCTCCTAGTATCCAAGCTAAGTCAGCTGAGCTTGGCAAGTGTGTGCCACTGTTGTGTAATTGCTATTTGTGTAATCACTACTTGCATAATCTTCATTTGTGTACATAGGTGGGGCTATTTGTCTTGTGAGTAGGCAAACAATAAGTAATCATGTGGATACATATTTAACTGCACATTTTGAAGAGCATGGTGCAGAAAAAGATAAGGGGGCTGTGATAAGAGGAGGCACAGAGTTTAGTCTGGGTGGATGGGGAAGGATCTCTGAGAAAGTGTCCTGTGAGCTTCGAGCTGAAGATTAAAGAGGAGTTAGTCAGGTGAGCAGGGAGGCCTGGAGCTCTTAGGGTCCTGGTTGGAAAATTTGTTTTGTTTTTTTTCCAAGGAGAAACACTGAAGGGTGTTCAGCAAAGAGCGTGGCATTATATGACTGAGAATTTAAGTCGATATATGCTTGTTTATTTACTTTTCAGTGATGGGGGTGGGCAATGATTTTACTTATTTAACTTGTAAATGGTAGATGGTTGTGGTGGGGTTGGTGATGATGCCTGATGGGTAAATATTTTGCTGGCAACATGGTTTAAATTTAGCAGCATTACTGTGGAAAACTCTTCATCATGGTTTCCCCTTCTTAGATTGTGTTTTATTGAAATCTCCTTTTTTGGAAATTTTTACTTTTAAAGAGAAATTGAATAGCACTGTGTTCCAGTTGGCGTTATTTCAGAATGGAAAATATCAGTGGTCCTAAGAATGACAGTTTAGAGAAAAATTAGGGCTATTTAGTGTGACTGTCACAACCGGAATTGCTTTTAAGCTATTTACATTGGGATGGCTCTACTGATTGGTAAGATATTTAAACTACTCCTAATCGGTCAGTGAATGATGTAAATGTGAGAAGTGGTAAAAGATAATGATACACATTTCAGTGTGAACTCATTAGTTCAGCTAATTTCCTGGGCTTTAGTGGGGTCTGGTTTTGCAGCACTCACTCTGTCCAGCCTGGGTCTAAGTGGCAGTAGTGGCGTGTCTCCACTGCACATTCCTTGTGAAGCTGGAGCCTTCTGTGCTTTCAAGGAATCATCTGTTTATCATTATCCTCAGATTTTTTAAATTGCTACAGCTTTTTAAATAGTTGAGTTTTAAATAGTTTTTATTTTGGTTCCTTTCATTGTTACTGCACTGTAATTCTTGAGTTAGTAGTGTCTGTTGTTTTGATATTTATAAGTACAAGGACTAATTTTATTATATTATTATAAATGAAGAGGCAGCAAAATTTTATTGTCTTAGACAACATAAACATGAATATTCTGAATCTGTCAGAGGCGATAAAAAAGAAATATTAATAGTAAGCTGAAATCCAGAATATCTCTTGATACACCACAGGAATACAAACCTAAAACAAATAATTTGTATGTCTAGGATGAAACACAGTTTGATTATTTTAACAAAAAACAAAAACATGAACAGCCTATCTTTTTTAAAATTTATTTTTTATTGAAGTATAGTTGAATTACAGTGTTGTGTTAATCACTACTGTACAAAAAATGAACAGCCTATCTTTATACCTCAAGGGACTAACAAAAGAACAAACTTAAGCCCAAAATTAGTAGAAGGAAGGAAATAATAAAGGTAAGAGCAGAAATAAATGAATGAGTCCAAGGAGATGATAGAAAAGATTAGTGAAACTAAGAGCTGGGTTTTTTTTTAATATAAACAAAAGAGACAAATC